ACCTGATTGGCCCTGACACTGGCCAGGCTGAGAGACCCTACCCATGCATGAATTTTGTGCCCTAAGCCTCTAGTAAAAAAAAAAAAAATAAAGACACCCTTAAACTATATATTGCCACATGACCACTTTTATCGTACAAAATTGTAGACAAATGATCTTAAGACGAATATTATTCATGAAATGTAAAATTATCAGAAGCATGCCACATTTCAAATGACCAGATTTTATTAAATTATCTGCGCTTAAAATAATGCCTTTAAATTCAGTGGATTGTTCAGCTTTAATTATGAAACTGCTCAGTATAAGCAGTGAGTTATAATTAACTACATCTAAATGAAAAAGTTAAATCAGGAAAATGACTTTTAAATGTGCAGCCCAGCACCAGTTGTTCTGTTTTCATTAATTGTCATGTATCTCGCCATGTCCTTTATCTGCTTGTGAATTTCCAAGGAACATAGCAGGTTGTGAATTTTTAATAGGTTTTCCTCAAGGAAGGAAAAGGTCAGCATTAACATAAAATTCTTCTTAAAGATTTGTGGCACAAATGTTTCACACCAAAGAACAGGTGTTACTGAGGAAGTAAAGCCTCAATAATCTGACAATTTTTTTTTTCCATTTAAAGAAAACTTAATGCCTCACATAATAAAATAGCACAAGGTCAAATCAATATAGAAGTTATTTCAAAGTAGATGCTGTACAGTATTTGACACATAATCCATAATCCCACCTCTCGGTAATAGAAACAACTGATTTTATTCAGTTAAATGTTTAATAAATCCAAGTATTGATAACTAACTTACATATAATAAGAGGCTAATCTGCAAATTGACTGAACGGCATAATGACTGGTCTCTATGATGGGCACTGACCACCAGGGACCAGACAATCAATGCAAGAGATCCCCCTGGTGGTCAGTGCACTCCCACAGGTGGGCAGTAAGGAGCAAGGGGACCAGGACTGCAAGAAGGATGTCTGTCTGGAGGTTTAGGCCTGATCCCCAGGGGGGGCAGAGGGGGTAGAGGAGGAATCGGGCCTAAGCTGTCAGGCAGACATCCCCCAAGGGGTCCCTGACTGTGAGAGGGTGCAGGCCAGGCTAAGGGACCCCACCCACCAGTGCACGAATCTCATGCACTGGGCCTCTAGTTCAAATATAAAAGTGAAGAGTAATAAGAAAGCTACAGTTTTTAGCATTAACATTCATCTGATATTACTTAGTAAATAAGTTGAAATGTGAAATAAACCCACATGAGGGAGAGAGACATTACCAGGGAAGAAGTAATTATAGTAATAAAAATCAACTTAAAAAGAAGAGAGGGCTTAGACAGGGGACTGTGATTAAGGAACTTGTGCATTGCTCTTTTGCTTTACCTATTAGGAAATTATCATTATCAATGCTATTGTTAGTTCTTGTCTCCCACTGTTCACCTACAGGAGGGAGCAACTCCTCAAATCTCAGGTCTAGAAATGTACCTTTCAGCATTATTATAGTATCTGTTTCTTCTCCTCCTCCTCCTCCTCCTCCTCCTCCTCCTCCTCCTCCTCCTCCTCCTGCTCCTCCTCCTCCTTCTCCTCCTTTTTAATTTTCTGGACTTTTCTTTAGTTATAGCTTTTAAAATATATATATATATATATATATATATATATATATATATATATATATATATATTATTGATTTTTTACACAGAGGAAGAGTGAGAGAGAGTTAGAAACATCAATGAGAGAGAATCATCGATCAGCTGCTTCTTGTACACCCCCTACTGGGGATGTGACCGCAGTCAAGGTACATGCCCTTGACCGAAATAGAACCAGGAACCTTTCAGTCCACAGGCCGACGTTCTATCCACTGAGCCAAGCCAATTTTGCCAACTGTTGCTTCTTTCCTATCCAGTTCTCAAATATGTTTATTTAAAGAAGATTTTGATAAACATGCTATAGGTAAGCCCCCAAACATGGTTACTTTGGCCCTTTATGCTAGTGTTAGTGATCAGCTGTTTCCCATTTTAAGAAAATTTATTTTTTTAGCCTACCAGCATGGCTCAGTGGTTGAGCGGCAACCTATGAACCAGGAGGTGGTCATGGTTAGATTCCTACTTGGGCCATATGCCCTTTGTTGTGGACTAGATTCCCAGTGTGGGATGTGCAGGAGGCAGCTAATCAATGATCCTCTCTCATCATTGATGTTTCTATCTTTCTCTCCTTCCTTCCTTCCTTTCTAAAATCAATAAAAATATATTTACAAAATGAAAATTCACTTTTCTCTTATATGTGCTCTAATAGTGCAAGATAATTTTATTGTAAGTCTAGATCTTTAGGTCAAAAGATATAAATTCAAAAGTCTAATTTCTTTCTCTTAGTTATGAGGAGATTGAAATCCTCTTGTTTCTGATTCTCAAAACCACAGTCCAACTTCCAATCCCCTAATACCATTTTCAATTTTCTAATCCGACAGAAACTCTCAAGGGGATGGGAAATTTAATTTCCACTCTCTGTAGTATAAGTGAAAGCAAAAATTCTGCTGTGATTCATAGTCCAAAATGGAGCATTATTAAAATTAAAATCTCACCAACACTAGCAACTTTTTTGCTTGACTAACTGAATAAAATAGCAGAACCAGTGTTAATGATGCCCATCTTGCTTTATATCCTCTCTACTCCAAATCTATGTTCTATATTCATCTGGTATTTCCCAGGAGGTGTAAAATGCAAGGAAATTCCATGTTTAAACCTCTTCTTATTCTTTTTTTATAATATATTTTACCGATAGTCACAGAGAGGAAAGGAGAGGAATAGAGAATTAGAAACATTGAAGAGAGAGAAACATCGATCAGCTGCCTCTTGCATGCCTCCTACTGGGGATGTGCCCACAACCAAAGTACATGCCCTTGACTGAAATCAAACCTGGGACCTTTCAGTTCGCAGGCCCCTGCTCTACACACTGAGCCAAACCAGTCAGGATCTCTTCTCATTTTTTGAAGTAACGTAGATGTTATATTAAGGAACTTCCCTCATTTTTGTGGGTCTACTACAAACCGCAAATTTATCTGATCAAATAATTGATAATATCAATAATATTTTCTTAAATTATGTTGGTTCCCAAACAGAGTAAGAAACATGCAATGCTTATGCCTGCCATTTGGAAGATGGAAAATTACCCAGTGCTTCACATCTGTATAATTGCAAAGTTGCCCAGCAACTGCGTGCAATTTCAGTTACTAAAAACCATCAATCTTTTGACTTTTTGAAAGTGTTTCTCTGGACAACACAGCAGTCATTAGTTACTTGTAAGAGCTTTTTAGTTAAAAGCAGGTGTTTCTTAAGTTTCTCAACCTTGCTTTGTTGCTTATAAATAGTAAAAGATGCCATAAAAAATGTCACCTGACATCTTTTCCTCCAAAGTATATATCAATTTGGGGTTTACTTTATCCATTAGGCCTGTAATAATGAGTAATTTTCCAGAAAAAAAAAAATGGAGTCTGATCCAGATTTGATGGCTAAGTGCTAATTATTGCAAACTATTAACCAAAAAGCAGACTGCTTTTGTAGACCCAACAATACTAGTAATACAATATATTAGGCCAGCGGTCAGCAAACTCATTAGTCAAGAGCCAAATATCAACAGTACAATGATTGAAATTTCTTTTGAGAGCCGAAAACTGACTTCTGCACATGGGCCACTAAGTTTCAATCGCACTGTAAGTGTGTAAACGCACGTGGTATTTGTGGAAGAGCCACACTCAAGGCCACAGTATGCCAACCACTGTATTAGGCATATGTGTGTCACAAAATATTTATTTAAGATAAACAGTTTTGATATTCATATAAAATGTTTTTACAGTTATGTTCATTTACTCCCATTAATGAAACTTTCAAATAAAGAAGCAAAATTCTATTTTAAAAAGAAAATAATCAGCTTAATATTTCACATGTAATTAGATCAAAATGCATGTTGATATGTCATCTAAAGAGCAAAATTCAAATCTATTTAGGTAAATATGTCTATAATCTTTGCACGATTAAAAATATAATCTCCAATTTTTAATTCTCTAAGCTACATGTCTGAATTAGTACTATGTTTTATATGAATATTTAAAAAACACGTTCACAATGATGTCTAAATTATTATAAATGCTTTATAGAAATTTAGATAATCTACATATTTTTATATTTCTTATCTAATAAAAATAAAAAAGAATTAAAGTATACTCATTTATTGCAAATAATGAAACTGTGATCTTAGCATAGAAAATGTTTATTGATCGGATGGTACAATTAAAGAGAAATTTATAGCCCTAACAAGTTTGGCTCAGTGGATAGAGCGTTGTCGGCCTGCAGACTCAAGGGTCCCTGGTTCGATTCCGGTCAAGGGCATGTATCTTGGTTGAGGGCACATACCCAATGGGGAGTGTGCAGGAGGTGGCTGATCAAGGTTTCTCTCTCATTGATGTTTTTAACTCTCCCTTTCCCTTCCTCTCTGTAAAAAATTAATAAAATATATTTTTTAAAAAGGAGAAATTTATAATTCTTGTGTTTTACAAGGTCATGCTCTATTCCTTCCATGGTGAGCCCCTCCCCTCAGGTAAGAATTCTGCGAGAGCAAATGGATATTTATAACTGTAACCTGCTTATCCTTTTATAGACTGTACTCAAGACTATAAAGATTCTTGGGACCTGTTTTTCCCTATTCGAGCATCCCTGTGTTTGCTTCTTGGTCCAAGGAAGGTCTCTTTTCCAGGTCTGCCACCTTAAGGCCAGATTCACTCACTGATATACACACCCCGTAGCCAGGCATGTGCCCTGACCAGTAAATGAACCAGCAAACTCTTGGTTCTTAGGCCGACACTCAACCCAGGAGCCACACTAGCCAGTCTTAACTCATTTCAAAAACTAAAATAACTGACCCCATTATTCAGTGATGGGATATAAGAAACTTCCTTTGAATTCTTTCAACATTACATGCCTTTAGATATTATCATGGATATGCTCCTTTTTCATTCTTTCTAGCTTCATTCAGACCAAGATAAAGGAGATGGATCACTCAAATATATTTTATCTGGAGATGGAGCTGGTACTCTTTTTATTATTGACGAAAAAACAGGTGACATCCATGCCACAAGAAGAATTGATAGGGAAGAAAAGGCCTTTTATACTCTACGTGCACAAGCTATTAACAGAAGAACTCTGAGGCCAGTAGAACCGGAGTCTGAGTTTGTGATCAAAATCCATGATATCAATGACAATGAGCCAACATTCCCAGAGGAAGTTTATACAGCTAGTGTTCCTGAAATGTCTGTCGTAGGTAAGTTTATTTTGAACATTTATGGTATTTTTTCAAAAAGTATTTTAAAAAATCAAAGATTCTCAAAATATTATGACCACTTAATTGAAATCACCATTGACTTCTACTAAAAATGCATACATAATAGTCTCACTTAGGATAGGAGTTTTTGTATTTGTAAATCTTACAATATAAATAAGTGGACACTTTCCTCAAAAAGCCAAGAAAAGAAAAACATTTAACTTGGTAGAAAACTGTTAAAATATAATATTTTGTCACATGAATTTGGATAATAGCTGCGTAATATTTTGACACTAAATATAAGTACATTTAGAACATAAATATAAAAAAGAGTCTCTGCATATATAATCTAGTCATTTGCCTTGAGTTTGTCTGGATTATCTTGACAATATAAATGATGGTGTTAATGAGATCATCCAATTATTTTACATAGACCACATTCATTTTTTATGAATAGAGCATTATAAAAAATTCAATATATGAAAACAGTTTTAGAGATATATGTTTGGATTTAGTAAAATAGATTCATTTCTCAAATGTTGGACAAGTTATATAAATTGATAAAACAATTGGAAAAAATTGTAACAGTTGTTATAGCAAAGTTTGAATTCTTCATTTCTCAAAAGCATTGTTCTGGGATTACTATTTAATATTTACTTCACTGAATCCCAAGGACTTCTGTCCATTGCCTTATTATAAAGCCCTTTTAAATATCTTGAACTTTATGAGAAAGCTTTGAATAGTTCATGGAGCTTGGGATCATCTTGGATTGCTTCTAAATTTAAATTTTAATCTATTCATAAAATTGTATTCTAGAGCAGATGTTAATTATTTTTACAGTTAATTAGTGAAGAGGGGGAAAGGAGCATACTTATTCCTTTGTGATTAGATATGCCCTTTACATCAAACAAATCTATTATGAGGAAATGAATTTAAGTATCAAACCTGGGCATTTGTAAAATGACTGCATTTTTTAAAAATCCGATACACTCTATAAGTATCTACTGCATGCATGAAAATAAACTTGTTTGCCACATAAATATGTAGTTGAACTCAGAGTTAACTCTAGGTGTGATGTTCATGTAAATGATCAATACATGTTTTTTTAAGAGGTCATGATTAAAGCCAAAAATCATTCAAGTCTTCCATGAAAACCAGTGCTTTTGCTCCTCCTCCTGGTGCTGTGCAGAACTAAGCTGAATTTGGATACTTCAGGTACTTCTGTGGTGCAAGTCACAGCTACAGATGCCGACGACCCTTCCTATGGGAACAGCGCCAGAGTCATCTACAGCATTCTCCAGGGGCAGCCCTACTTCTCTGTGGAGCCCGAAACAGGTCAGGAACCGTGCCTTGGTTTGTTCCTTTAATAGTCTTTCCGATCTTTACAAGTAGAAAAAAGGCGTGGAAATAAGAACAAACATTACCATGAATACTCCCAGCGGAGTGATGACGCCACACTTAGAGATTTACAAACTCCAAGTTGAATGATTGAGCAAGCTAATGATAAGATGCCTGTCTTTATGTATGGGTTTGCGTCACATGGGTTGAGGACATTATCCAGTGCACACGGTACTCTTTAAGAATCAGGAAAGTGACACACATTGTAAAATATCTGCATTGGATCACTTTTACAATTTCTGGACAATAAAAATTAATAGCAAAAACATATTTTGTCTTTTAAAAGTCACCAGTTTGGACATACACTTTGTGAGCTTAATCAACAAATGATGGAGTTTTCAGTGAAGGTAACAAATGTTTTTTGTATTTTCTTCAAAGGAATCATCAGGACTGCTTTGCCAAACATGAACAGAGAAAACAGGGAGCAATATCAAGTGGTTATCCAGGCCAAGGACATGGGCGGCCAGATGGGAGGCTTATCGGGGACCACCACCGTGAACATCACGCTGACAGATGTCAATGACAATCCACCTCGCTTCCCCCAGAGTAAGCTGGTTTTAATGGTCTTTCTGTAGGGTGGAAGCTACAGAGAAGAAAAGAAAAAATCAGAAAAATACCCACAAAACTTCTCTCCCTCTCTCTCTCTCTCTCTCTCTCTCTCTCTCTCTCTCTCTATATATATATATATATATATATATATATATATATATATATATGTGTGTGTGTGTGTGTGTGTCTGTGTGTCTGTGTGTGTGTGTATGTATGTTGTATGTATATATACACTCTTCATCTATAATTGTAATCTAAACTTTTTCTACCAGTTAGCAAAAGAAAATAATGTTTTATTGAACAACAAAGTAAGAGATAATTCTACAACAAGACTGTTTCTTTCCACTTAGAATTTAATAAGGAGGATGCTCACTTGAGGGCACATTTTTTCTCTCAATAAAGCAATCTAATTTGACATATTAGAAAGGGCTACTTAGGAAGCACTGATCAGATTTGCATTTGGATATTACTGTGTCAGATTTGCATTTAATTTCTCTGCATTTGGACCGGCAATCATAAATAAAACATTTTTTTTTTGTATTCCTATTTATAGATTTATCTTATGTTATAGAATTAACCTTCAAATTCTCAGGATAGATCATGAATGGTTTAAGAATTATTAGCTTCTGACATTATAACACAGGTTTTATTCTCTTTTCTTATATAAACTTGGTAGAGCTGCAAGTAGAGATGATGTTTATTAAGCCTCAATGGACATAGCCAAGACTTAGCCAATTTCTTGCCAGTCTAAAAGAGCTCATACTCAAGATGAGATTCTGCATTGTTAGAAATGTGGCATAAAAATGGAAGCTTTAGTAAGAGCTATGTACTTAAATTTTAGCATTTACAGTGCATTAACTTCAGAATTCATCCCCTAATTTTAGGTGAACCTTTGTGATAAAGTCTTAAAGTACAACTTCTTGTGATATTTATATTTTTACACTAACATCCATTACACAGAAAGATTTTAGTCTAAAGATTCACTTTATTATTTTGGCTCTTTAAAAGCATTTTTCCTCTTCTGTGCTATTTTTCTCTAACTTTGATAATTGATAATGCATGAGTGGAATTGAGTTGTGTTCATTTCTATTTTTTTTAAATCATGTTTGTGGAAATACTATGAATTCAAGTAGAATTGTATTGGGAAGACATTATATGCTTATGTATCTGTGATGATTATTTTGTTAGCTATTTCAGGTACATGACAGTCAGGTGTCCTATTGTGGTGTCTGGCCCAAAATACAAGGAGGAGGCTGTTTACTTATACTGTTTTTAAATAATCAGGTTTCAGCTCCAAGTTACATTTAACATTGGCAGGGAATAGGAAACCAATTATAATCCTGTATAGTTTTTTCAGAATAGGTTTAAAGAGGTGCCTACTTACATAAAATTTAAATTTCACATTTTATATTTATTTCTGATTGTCCTTTAGTGCAAACCTGTCACCAGAATAATGGCCAGACAAGTTCAGAAGGAAAAAACAAAAAAACAAAAAGTGTCAAATTGTGTACTACAATGATTAAAAAAATATATATTTCTGAAAAATATTTCATTAATAATAATTGACCAGCCCAGCCATTGTTGCTCAGTGGTTTAGTATCAACCATGTACCAAGAGTTCTCCAGTTCAATTCCTGGTCAGGAAACATGCCAGGGATGCGAGCTTGATCTCCAGTAGGGGATGTACTAGAGGCAGCTGTCTCTCATTGATGTTTCTTTTCTTTCTCCTTTCTTTTTTTTCTCTCTAAAATCAATTTTAAAATATTTAAAAATAATAGTAACTGGCCATTAAAAGGAGTACTATATTTTAAGTGAAGAGGAACATGGATACACATGTGTCTTTAAGGCAGTCCATTAAAAAATGATGCATTCAATAAGCAAATTAAAGATTCTAATGTAATAAAAATGGATAATTAAGTTAATAATGCCTGGAGAAAATATTTTTATCTGTTATAACATCTTTATTAGTTCAATAATTGTTTTCTTTTAAGTCAGAATTTGTGATTGGTATCTGATAGGCATATCATCAAGCCCTGAAATAATAATAATAATAATAATAATAATATTAATAATAATAAAGCATAGCATATTTTCTAATATCATTTCTATTGGTTCCCATACCAAGTTACTTACTGGTCTACTTTATATAATCATACCAACTCATTCAGGTAAGTATTATGACCTCCATTCTACAAGTGAGACAATAAGGACCACATTGCAGCTAATGGCAGAGGTGGGTAGACATCAATGACCAACTCCAGATGCACAATTCATTTAGAGAAATTTTAGAGTATCCTGTATCTTGTCTCATTATTTTATAATAATAGATGGAAACATAATTTTTGAACTTTTATTTTCTCACTTGTCTTTTCTTCAATTAATATCTTACTATTGAGAACACTTAGTAATGACAATCAGAATATCATTATCCCCAAACACTAGTTTTAAAATTCTTTTTAAAATTTTAGTCATTATCCCCAAACACTAGTTTTAAAATTCTTTTAAAATATATTTTTATTGAATTTAGAGAGGAAGGAAGAGGGAGAGAGAGATAGAAACATCAATGATGAGAGAGAATCATTGATTGGCTGCCTCTTACGTGCTCCCTAATCGGGATCGAGCCCACAACCAGGGCTGGAATTGAACCTGGGACCCTTCAGTCCACAGGCTGGTGCTCTATCCACTGAGCTGAACCAGCCAGGGCTAGTTTTTATCCTCTAACGCCATTGCATTAGATAGCCAAAGTTTGGAGAGGCTTCTACAGTTTATGAAGCCTTTCAAATGGAACATCACTGAAATCTCACAACTAACTTGTATAGACCCATTGATTTTTTTTTTATACCCAATATACAAAAATAAAGGAGGTTCCAAGTGGAGATGATAAAGAAAACAAATTGGTGTTTCTTCATAGAAATATATTGCAAACCAGTGATGTGTGCTACATATGTCATTTTACATTTTCTGTCAGCCATATTTAAAAAAATTAAAGCAGAGGACATTTATGTAATCAATAGAGGCCTGGTGCATGAAAATATGTCCACTCAGGGGGGTCCCTAGCCTGGCCTGTCCCTCTCGCAGCCCAGGACCCCTTGGAGAATGTCCACCTGCTGGCTTATACCCACTCCCTGGGAGATCCGCCTAAGCTGATAGTCAGACATCCCTCTGGCAGCCTGGGACCCCTTGCGGGATGTCTACTTGCCAGCTTAGGCCCATTCCCTGGAAGAGCAAGCCTAAGCCACAGTTGCACATCCTTAGCGCTGCCAAGGAGGTGGGAGAGGCTCCCGCCACCACCACTGCACTCACAGCCCTCTGCCCTGCTTGTGGCTGAACAGAGCTCCCCCTGTGGTAGTGCACTGACCACCAGGGGGCAGCTCCTGGGTTGAGCGTCTGCCCCCCGGTGGTCAGTGCACATCATAGTGACTAGTTGTTTCCAGTCATTCCGCTGTTAGGGTCAATTTGCATATTACCCTTTTATCATATATTTTATTAACCCCATGTTATCCTTTAAACATATCATCAATGCAAAACGTATTCAGATATTTTACATTATTTTCTCCCATGTTTCTTTGAAACTCTTACATCAAGTATTTTCTAATTACATCAAGTCCCAATTCAGACTTAGCACATTTCCAGTCAATAGCAATGTGAGGGCTGGTGGCTTAGCTAGTGGCTGTGAACTGGGACAGCTGAGGAGCAGACTGTGGAGTCATCCTATGTGAGTCCCAATGCTGTCTCCCCAACCCAGTATCTTTTTCACCTTGGTCAGTTAAGGAAAACAAAGTAACAATGCACATTCCATGAAGTGCTATAAAATGAAATAATTTAATGTCTCTGAAGCACTGGACTCAGCGCCTGCCACTAGTGTATTCATGTGCTCGGTAATATTGATTTGACAAGTACTGATCTGTTACTATTATTATTCAATGTTATAAAAGTGGTGTCAGAACTTAAACTTCCATGTACATTGTTTGATCCAAATTCAACATTTCCCAATATGCTACATCTGTGGAGGATAAAAATCTGTCATTTGGAAGGCAAAAGGGCAAAAGAAAACTCAGAAAATCTATTGCTTACCTTCCAGAAGCAAACATTGCATTTCCTCCTTCATTGTTTAGCTAATTTTATTGCATGGATCTATAACAATCCTTCTCTTGTTTGCCTTCCAGAGAGCATTGCACCATGTCTTGAGACATTTTTGCTTCTCTGAATTGGTGGGTACTGCTGGCATCTAGTGGGTGTAAGCCAGAAATACTGCAAATGTCCTTAAAATTCACAAAACAAAGAATTACTGGGCCTCAAATGTGAATAGTGCCAGGAATGAGAAACTCTGATATGTTATATGAGGAGCTGTTCAAGTGAAATCTTGAACTCTTTTATCTAACAATATTTATCAAGAATGCTACTTTAGAAGCTAGATGTATGAATTTTGCCTAAAACACCCACTGTTTTATTTTGTCCCTATGATACATTTCATTAATGCATGGGAGGTAGATTATACATAAATAGAGACATTGGATTCATACAAGGCATTGGTTCAGTTCTGGATAAAGGAATAATATGTGTGTGATAGTAGGAGGGTAAGCTAAGGAAATGTCTTATTTTAGAGGCACTTTTTCATCAAAATACTTTAAGATAAAATAGATCTAGCCATACAAAGAGATGGGCACTGTCTCCACGTGGAGGGACTAGTATGTGAGAAACTCACAGGAACATTGACAATAGTATAATTTCATTAGGTATTAACAAACCTAACTGTGTGCCTGATCTAAGATATCATTAGGATTTTGTGGCTTTAGAGGTGAATGTTAATATGACAGGTGCACCATAGTATGGTTCTAAAAAAAGGCAATGGATTCAAAGTTAAGGGTATACCTGAACACAGAGTTACAAAAGTATTTTCTGCCTTTTCGCTAGGAATACATTTTTCACTCTCAAAAAAAGAGATCCCTGCTGAAATTATTTCAGAATCCTGAGTTGCTTCAAGTGCAATAATTTAAT